CCACTAGTTACAGGCCTCCAGCTAGACTCCAGCCTTGCTAAGTCCACCACTAGACCATGTCCCTAAGCACAACATCTCATCTTTTAAGTACCTCCAGGGATGATGACTCAGCCACCTCCCTGGGCAGCCTGTTCCAGTGCTTGACAACTCTTACTGTAAAGAAATTCCTCCTAATATCCAACCTAAACCTCCCCTGGTGCAACTTGAGGTCATTCCCCTTGGCTTTACTACATTGGATGCATTCAGTGGTGCGGTACTCCCAGTTTGTTCCCGTAGTGTGCCTGTTCACAGAGTGGTTTGACATATGGGAAGCACCCACCTGGGTGGTGGCTGCAGCAGGTGACAGGGGTGCCACCACCTGGGTGGCAGGTGGTGCCCTGGACATGGCTCCTGATGCCCTCCACACACAAAGCCGGTCTCTCTGCCTCCATCATGGCATGGCAGGCTGGGGCAGAAGAACACCCTGATGTGTTCTTGCAAGCCCAAACAAGGGCTTGTTTTCAGCCTTGTGATGCTTTCCTTTACTTTTTTATCCAGGAATTATTTTCTTTCCGTTTGATTTTACAGGGCTTGAAATATCCAGGAGTAAAGAGCCTTGCTCCAGACAAGCCAGGTGAAATATTTTTGATGGATTTGAATGAAGACAATCCCAGAGCAGTGGAGCTGAGAATCAGCCGAGGGTTTGATCTGGCGTCGTTTAACCCTCATGGAATCAGCACGTACATAGACAGAGGTAAAGAGACCTTGAACCCGAGGTGGTGGCAAATCTCAGCCTAAAGTGCAGTCACAGAAGTCCTTTGGCGGCCTTGCATTGCACCCCCCATTGCACCCAGTAAGCAAGTGCTTACTGGGAGAGAAAAAGGTTTTTGGGCTTTTTCTCTTTGCTGGGCTCTTTTCTAAAAGTCAGCTTCCTAAACAAATGCCGTTGCACATAATCGCAGAGTGTCTGAGGCAGAAAGATGTCTTCTATATTGAAAGGAAAGAAAACATGGGAGAAGCCTGGGGAGTTGAAAACCACTGAAAGTTTAATTTTACTAGTGTACATCTGTCTCACCCTGGGGTCAAGAGTTTTCAGGAGATTTGTGCTTCACCAACTAGTATTGACCAGAATGGAGACTTTTGTAACTAAACTATAAATTATCAAATCTTTGTAAATTATAAAATCTCTGGTAATCTGTGGCTAAGACGTGAGGCCATGTTCTCATCTGCAAAATGTGTTCTCCTATGGCAGGCTCTGACTACCTATAAAAAACCGTTCATGCTCTCCTTCCTGTCTTTTCCACTGTCCTTTCAGGTGTCCTATCCTTTAGCGGTGCAGTTGTAAGTCTGTAAATACTCAGAGGAGCTCTGGAGGCTGCTTCAGAGCTATGGGTGCTCAGCAATGCAAACTGTTGCAGAAATCTGGTGAAACTCAACTCTTTCCATTTCTGTTTTTTTTTTAAGACGACACCGTGTACCTCTTTGTTGTGAATCATCCCCATCAGAAGAGCACAGTAGAATTGTTTAAATTTGTAGAAGATGACAATTCTCTTGCACACTTGAAAACCATTCGGCATGACCTTCTGACCAGGTAGTGGAGCCTAATACCATCTTTCCCCAGAAAAGGCTGCTTTGGTAAAATCCAAAGTAGGATGATTTTGCTTTTTGAATATTATTAATATGAGATATTTCCTCTTTAACCAACTTTCCTGTTACTCATATTTATTACTTCTTATCTGTGTGATCAAAACCTGCATTTCTCCAGTCTCTTTTGTAAATTAGATTTTTAATGGTTGTGTCACTAAAACAGTCTTAAGCACTGCTGTGGTTGATGCCAGTGAATTAGCTTGGCATCCATTTCTCCTTCTCTCACATAACCCAGTCTCAGATCATTGCAGGTATCAATATTCTGATATTTTATTATTCTTTATTTGCTACACTATAAAAATAAACATACTTTTAGCTTTTTCTTTTCTGTTGTTGTTGCATACATTTTCTTGGTCTGTCCTACCACAAAATGTTTGTATGATAAACAAAGCCTGAAAAAAATAGTTGTCACAACTCCTACCTCTGGTTTCCAGTTGAGAGAGAAAAACTTCCATGGGTTTGTAAGCAGGGAGTCAGATTTCTAACTGCTGCCCTGTGGTCCTGGTCAGCACTGCACAGTCCAGGCCCATCTAGAAGAGATTAGAATTAAAAAGGGTCTAAATAACACAGCATCTCTCTGAAGTACCACCTGTTATTGCAGCCCCTTTGTGTCTATGGAATGACCCTTTCCTGACTGGATTCTGGGCAGTCCTACAATCCTCCTTCCATTTCCTTCTTTTTAAATTATTTTTCTCTCTCTCTTTTATTTTTTTTCTTTAGTGTGAATGATATAGTAGCTATGGGACCAGACAGCTTCTATGCTACCAATGACCACTACTTCTCTGACTTCATCTTGATGTTCGTGGAGATGTTCTTGGGTTTGACTTGGTCAAATGTTGTTTACTACAGTCCCAAAGAAGTTAAAGAAGTAGCAGCTGGATTTTATTCAGCCAATGGAATCAACATCTCACCCGACAGAAAGTAAGTTTCTCCTCGCCTCAGATTTTGTTCAATCACACAAAAGAATCCCAAAATCCTCATTTGTACACATGATACCTTTGTGGTCAGTGTCTAAATTGGCTCATGTAAGGTGAGGTGCTGCCTGTCCAATGTAAGTGATATGAAGGGTCTGTAGAACAGGAGTCCTGTGTCTCGGTCTTTAACTAGAGGCAATGTTTGCTGGTTTGTGTGGTGGTTTATATGCAATAAACTCAAATATTGCTGCATTTTAACCAATCGACACAGAAGTTTGTGTATACTACTTGCAAGGGTTAATGAGGCAGAATTTCTGCAAGTGGGGAGTACATTCTCAAAGTCTGTAGGACTGAATTAACCAGTCGTGTGGTTTAGACAGATGATCTTAAATGAAAAATAAAACATATTTGTGGATCTCATGATCCCAGGCCTGCTTCAGTGTCATAATGGAAGAACCGGCACAGTGTGAATCTACATTAGCATCTCAGCAGGTTGGCTTCAATTCAGTGTCCTGCTTGCAGTGTCTGTTGCTATGTGAGAGCTGTGAGCTGGCATTCCTCAAGGGGGAGAGCTGGGCTTGCATGGGAGGAACTGACTGGTTTTGGTGTCTGCTTACTCATACACATTGCTAAGAGGTGCTTTCTTTTGCAGGTACATCTATGTGGCAGATGTATTAGACCATAATGTCCATGTTATGGAAAAACATGATAATTGGAGTTTAACCCATGTGAAGGTAAGGTGCTGCTGTTCCATAAAAAAGAGGCATATATGAAATTTGGACAGATTAGTCCCCATGAATGCTTGAGATTTCAACCTGTATATGAAGTTCTGGTCTGGATGGTTCCTGCTGTGGGTCTGCAGAGGTGCTGTGCGCCCCATTACAGAGCTTCAGGTCTTCCACCCTCACACCAGCAACCAGAGAGAGCCCCTCGGGTGTGCTGTAGAGCTGCAGTGGGTGTCTGCCTCTGTGGTCAGGCCACAAAGCACTGAAGTAATCAACACCAGCGTGGGTGGGAATGAGCCCTGGGCGGGAGGCTCAGAGCAGCAAGGAGTTTTCTCATGATATGGAGAGGATGAAGCTTATTGGGGCACTGAGGGAGAAAATAATTTAAAAAAATTTGGTCTAAGTTATGGACAAGTCTATTGATTACACTGTAGTTAGCTTCCAGGACTTCTGATTGCTTTAACTTCTCACTTTTTCTTGTTTTCCTCTGTGTTGGACAGACGCTGCAGCTGGACACTCTGGTTGACAACCTGTTTATTGACGCTCACACGGGAGATGTCTGGATAGGGTGTCATCCTAATGGGATGAAGCTGTTCTACAATGATCCTGAAAATCTGCCGGCCTCTGAGGTGCCTTTTGGGAGGTGTCACTGGTCTCTTGGCTATGTCTGGGCAAGAAAGTTGCTCTATTCAGATCACTCTGCTATAACTTAACTCAGCATTACATAGTGAAGTGCCTGGCCAGCCTTTGTGAAAGTAAAGACCATGCTGGCTCCCAGCTTATAGCTTCTGCTCTCAAATGGAAGCCTGACCAGCGCATATTCAGCTATCAGACACCTATTCAGAACTTTGGGAGACAACTGAGTAATGTCCACCCAGTAGCTTAGTCATTCTGGACTCCTCAGGCTGCTTTCTGTGCACCTGTGGCCACACAATCAGATTTTGATGAACTGTGTTAATTACCAAGCCAACACCTCTTTGCCAAACAAAAAGTAATGGAGTGCAAAGCAAGACAAGAAACATTCGCACTGGAAAGATTTATCTGTGCAAGTGTGGTTCATCAGTAGGTGACACTGTAATTCTTCTTTCCTTCTGAAATCAATGCGGTGCTGGCATTAGTGTGCTAGCAGCCATCAGTGCTGGTGGCTGTTTGGTGTCTGTTTGATTTCAGCCTTGTCTAAAGCTTCCCATAATACACTTTTCAAAATTACAATGTTCAATAGACGTAGATTTCTGATACAGTTGTTTATTCTGTCTGGAAAAAGCATGAAAATAAGAAGATACTGAATAACTCTTAGGCTCGAAAAAAAAAAATCTGTGCTTGTGCCTAGTGCTGGGGCTGACTGCCTCGCTTACTTACTGAAGTGGGGTCTTTGTTGCACAACCACTTAAAAAAATAGTCAGTCCTCATGAACAGAGCTTCACTGCAGCAGAAATTGTGACCCTATCACAGGAATCACCAGCTGACCAGCCTAACTAATGTCTTTAAATTAACATGCTGATGTTTCCTCCAACCATGGAGGATTTTCACCTGCAGCTGTTTCAGCAGATTGTCCCCCTTCTCCGGCAGGTCCTGTGCATCCAGAACATCCTCTCAGAGGAGCCCGTGGTGACACGTGTCTACGCTGACAATGGCTCTGTGCTGCAGGGAACCTCGGTGGCATCCATCTACAAGGGAAAGCTGCTCATCGGAACTGTCTTCCACAGAGCTCTCTACTGTGAGCTGTAGCTCGGTGTGGGTAAGATCTGCTGCAGCGGAGAGGATGGAATGCCTTGGGAACTCACGTATTTTCTGCTAGATTTGCTAACAAGAAGACTGTTGCAATAAAGGTTAACTAGACTCATGGGAATGTATTTTAACCTTCCTTTCTAAAATGAGAGTTTTTGCTCAATAGTGAAGGAAATGGAATTGAAGGTGAGAAATTAGTTCATTTCTGTAATGTGGAGGACCCTATGTCAGTAACAAAGGGTAACTTTGGAGTTCATATGTGTGTTAGTAATCACTTGCAATAAACTGAATTGAGGGTCCTTTGAAGTCGGGAACCCATCTTGTGCTGTACAGCGTGCACAGCAAGACATCGGCCTTGCAGAAGCTGCTCTTTGAACCAGTCCTGCCCAGGGAGCAAGCTCTTCTTCCATCAGCATAATGTCCTCACTCGCAGAGCAGCCCCTGCAGCTCTTTTTGTCCTCTAAGTTCCCACCTCTGATCGCTGCTCCAGCTTTGTGAAAGATGCTGACATTCAGCTAAAGGGTCTGTGTTATCTGTGGCTGCTCCCCTGCCAGGGCTGCCCCTCCAAACCGTGTCACCAGACAGACCTGCCCAAGGCCACCATCTCACCTGCATCCTTTAGCTGATGTGGTAGCATTTTCCTGCTCCTGTTCTTCCACTGCTGTGTAGAGAAACAAGGCCGGTAGCTTGTGAAGCAGAGGCTCAGGAGGAAGAGCCAGTCCCTGGGAGCTAATTGCTGTTCTGGCTTTGTGATTCCCCACTGCAATTTGCTTCACCTGGAGAGTACATGGGAAGTCCACTACTTCTAGAAAACGTAGGCATGCTTCTGCCTACAAGACAGAGCAAATAACCCTCTCTGGAGCAGCCCGAACACTGAGATAGGAGCCAGAGTGTGTGCAAGCCTTCGTCTGTCGTTGGGCTTTGCTGTTCTGGCTGAGGAAGCATTCCATCGGCCTAAGGTTTGGGTGAGCAGCGGCCCTGAGCAGCAAACGTGTGCTGATACCTCTGGGCTCCTGCACCTTTCATTTCTGGCACACATAAGCCTAATGCCTTTCATCCACAGGTATGAAAGTTACTGTTCCTTCTCTGAGGGAAGGGGGCAGCTCTAAGCAGAGCAAGGAGCTGGTGGCAGGGCTGACGGCTGGGGCTGTGTTGCTGTTGGGCTGTGTTGCTAAGGGAGGTATGGTGCCATCCCCCATCCTCTGCACAGCTGCAGCAGGCTGTGGGTGTTGCCACATCGCTGCCTGTCCCCAGGGAGCGTCTGCTCCAGCCCAAGCCCCTGCAATGGACAGTGGCGTAAGGCACCTCCTTGGGCACAAAAAGTTGGGCGAGAGTTGAGAACTGAGCTGGTAGGAATGACGTGTCAGCTCGGCTCCTGCACCCTTTCCAATGTCCGCAGCTTCCCATTTCCCCTCTCCAAAATGCCCAGTTAATCGGGGGACTTAAGCACTGCCCAGGGTTTACCGTCTGCCTACGGAGCCTTTTGTGACCAGGGACTTACCTGTTTGGATCATGGTTTCAAGGCTTTTGCTAACCACAGCGTGCAGACAGCCCTTCCATGGAGCAGAGCTGGCCCTGAACAAGGGCAGCTTCTGTCTTATCACTTGCCTTTGGCATCAGCCAAGTGCTCCAAGCACCCAAGAATGTAATTTACCATAACTCCGGGTTTGCTGCTCCTTCTGTAGCAACAACTTTCCCTGCAGGACATTTTCAGCTTTCCTGGAAAGTGGTGTGCTTTCCTACAGGAATTTGTGATCCATCTTCAGCCTTGAGGAATAGATACTGATTCCAGAGCCCAACCAGAAGAAAAAAGCTCTGAAGGAAGTTCTTGTAATAAGGAGAGGTTGGGCTATTAATTTGTTCATGATTAGCCAATAGGGTCCTACACTAGCCTTTAAACATAATCATTTTAGGCTTGTGCCGCTATTTGTTCTCAAGTAAATTAAGTGCTGTCTTTGAAAGAGTTATGGTTTTGCAGCAGTGGCAGTAACAGCCGAAACACTGAGCAGTCGCTCTGCTGGTCCTGGGTTCACCCTGTTGCTGTAGACGTGCAACAGCCAGCACTTCCGTCAGCAGTGGTAGAAATAACACATCAAAGCATTAATTTCGTATTTTCTAGTAGCTTAGAACATCTTCAAATGAGCAAATCAACACGTTGGCGGATCTTGTCAAACTTCTGCATTTTTTGTTGGTTTTGGCCTTTCAGAAAATAAAGAATGTGTTCACTTGTCACTGGCTTTCTCTTTTCCCCTTTTTTTAAATTATTCCTATACTGAAGGTTTTCCCAGTGGTCTGCCCACAGACAGAAGCACATGCAAGCAACAGGCCTTCTCTTTTCCTAAAGAGTTTGAGAGGAGAGATATTGTAGGTGGGATTTAGGACCTGATGTAAGCAATAGTAAAGTTCTGAATTTTAACCTGAAGCAAGGAGGGCTGCAAGCCCATTACCAGTCTCCCCTAAGGGTGTGGTGGCTTTGCAGTGCAGAGGTGGGAGTTGAAGCTGGGCCATGAATTAGAGTGGTGGTGGGCAGGACAGAGACAGCAAGCATGCGTTTTGCAGCAAACGCAGCACCTGGGTATAGCTTCTGCCCCTCAGCATGAAATCATCACTTGAAAAAGCACGGGCTTGCAACCTGGAGAAGGGCATAACCCATCTTCTTTTACAAGCTGTACAGTCTGGAGCGGTTCTGGGCATTTTGGAAACCAACCTGCAGGTATCTGAGGCACCCTGCACAAACAACAAGGACACATGTACAGATGGTTCCAGGCTTTGGAAGCTGCTGAGCAGACACATTTTATATGTCAGTTGTGGACTTACAGCCTCTTAATATACCAATTTTAATTAAGATAATAATTTTATGGATTGAGCATTCTTTTATATTCTTGCAGGTGATGACCATATTAGCAGTAAGCAAGATTTATGATTCAGCCGCTGGGAAACACAGACTGGGTTAGACAGATTAAGTGCAGGGTATTTGGCCTAGATTCTGCCAGATGTAAATCCACTGAAAGGACTACACAAATTGGACAATCTGTGCCCTTCACTTTTGCCTCATTTAATGCTTTACTAAAATCAAGTAAATAAAAATAAAGACATATTAAACACGTTCAGCAGAAGAACTGCTGTATTTTGAATGTATAAAATGTCCATTACGAATAGTCTACCCTCAAGTATCGAATGGTAAAATGTTTTATATACCAAAACTAATCCAGGGCTTTTAAACAGACAAACATTGACCAGCATCAGTGTGAAGGTAACCCATTTTTACATCAACCTGCAACAAAAGACTGCATGCTACATTTCATCTGCATATGAAGAAAATGGCCATTCCCTTACTCTATTTTTTTACTTCTTTTTGCATAAGTACAGATTGTAAACAAGATCCACTCATAGGCCTGTGAATCATGCCAATATGGCCAATAGCTGGGATTAAAATAATCTTCAGCACTGAGCAGAAAGAAGGAAAGAAGCAGCAGGGCAAGGGTATCCCCCTCCCCAGTCTGACCCCAGCAACAGCTGCCCAGTCATGCTCAATATCTATTATTTCTTCTGGAACAACCAACAAACAGGCAGGAAAGTGAGGACTCCATACAAATTCTAATAAAGATTCAGGATTTCTCATTTTATTGCATTCGTTGTCTAACAACAATAATACTCATTGGCAAGAAATTTATTTACACTAACAAATTAACTTTAAACCACAAGGCTTTGTTGTTCGTATTTAAACTGTAAGAAAACAAAGGGCCACCATGATGTTTTGTTTTGATGTCTCCCAATAACTAAATATTAACCAAAGTTATTTTGGGGAAAACTCAACAATCTAGAGCAGTTCATATCAACCAAGCACAAGAGAACACGCTCAGACATGGCACTACTGTGTCTTTCATGCAGATGATCAGACACCAAGATGTACAAACAAAACGTTCAGGATAACATGCACTTCATATACATTTGACCTCTTTAAAAAAAGAAAAGAAAAAGGAAAAAAATCTGAAGCGCAACCACCTCTTCAAACATATAGAAAGAAACAATGTAAGAAGCCAATTTTTACAGTGAGCACAGTGCATTTTAGTCTTTTAGCTGCCTGGTCTTCTAGCAGTATGTCTAACACTTGTCAGTGACCAGTGAGTTACCATTGCAACGTGACTGGAAAATACGAAAGCAGCTGTTCGGACAGTGAATGTGTACGGGAAAGTACAGAGTCAGAAGATGTTCACTGTGCACTCCTCACTTACAAATGGGCCAGTTACTCCTCACATTTGGTGCCCTGGGATTGCCCTTTCCTTCAGATGCTTCTGCACTGGGGCCTGAACCCTTTCCCACTGGCATCAGTGACAAAGCTCCCACTGAGACCCCATCAGGAGGCTCAGGCTCCCGAGTTATGCGGGTTGGACCCAAAAAACAAACCCAAGGACAATGTGCAGAAGGACCTCCAGAGGACCACTCTGTATATGGGTTTAACAAAACTTTAATATAATCTTCTGATCTGCAAAATACATCAAACCTCACCATTTGAAAAGAGCGAGCAAAGCCACCAGCACAGCCAGGGTGAGCACACCAGTGAGACCCAGGGGCAGCGCTTTGCTCCTCCGAGCAGCTACCCGTGTGCTGCTGGCGCAGTGTACAGCTGCAGGGATAGCCATGTACGTATGTATGTATGTACACACACAAAACCATATGTGTTTATTTAAAGAGGAATCAAGTCACAAATAATTTAAAACACTTCTAGAAAGACTAACTGATTCCATTATTTTCAATCACTGACTTAACCAAACCAAACCCAAACCATCTAGCTGCTCTGTGCACTCAGCCCATTTCAACTGTTGATTTTCAGTCTTACAACTTAATTAAAGATGTGCTACTATTGTCGAACATCTGGTTTTTCAGTGGTTTGGAACATGACATAGGTGGCCTGAGGTTTTCAAGTGAGGGAGAGCATGGAGTGAGGGAGGTGTTATTAAAAGGGTTCAGTCCCTCTACCACCTTGTCTGATGACAGCTCAGGGGATGAGGCCACACCTAAAAAGAGAAAGATCACGTTTTCCTTTTGCCTCAACAATATATTCTCTCTCTAAACACTCAGCACCCCATCATATGGAAAA